TACACGCATCTTTTGAAAGCTTGGGTTAAATAAAAATAATATGTATTTAATTCTAGTAGCGCCATCTATGTGTAAGGCCGGGATTTTTCAATCGACCTGTTAACATCCACAATTGTTGTCCTGGAGCAAAATAAAACAAAAGTTGAAAATTCTATAATGGCAATATCGTCTAAGTGAAGTTTAGGGAAAATTTATGAAGGTAGACTCAATAGACTCTACTTGGTTTCTTAGTCTAGTTATATATATTATATATGACGCTTTCATAAGTTTAAAGATCTTGAGGTGCAACGCCTCTATATATATAAATTTTACAAGTTAGGAATTCTTGATGAAAATATGGGTCAAATAAGGTCTTGAAATTTGGAAAATATTAGAGCTGTTTCCATAACAAGTAAGCATATTCAAAGTCAAGTCATACGATTAGATTCCAACGGTTCCCTTAGCTGATTTTTCATAAAAGCTTACTACATATAGTAAATCATCCGCCTTCGCACGAATTATTTTTCCTTCTGGGTTTATGAAGGGAATCACAAACAGCTTAGCGGCTGCGGAGGCGTTGCAACTAACTGATAAGTGCTGAAAATATTCATATTTTGACATTTTCGAAAAATCAGTGTTGATGATGAAGTTGTGGTCCGATCACGTGCTTAACACGCGCCAACACAAGCGACGTACGCGAGTAACCGCACATAATACACTTGTAAATATTAATGATTACAACAAAAACATTGAAAATATCAATATTGACTTTAAAGTGTTTACGAAGTGCGAATGCATTGACATAGCAGACGCGGCGCAGAGAAAATCCGAAACCGATAGGCAATTTTGTTTTGCATTTCAAAAATTATTTTCCTGGAGAATATTTGCACGGCATAAAGCCAGAAAACTGCAATATCAAACGAAAATAAAGTAAAAACAAAAACAAAGACTGCTGGCTGAGCAGAGATAATCGCATTTAATTGGCTTTTCTTGAGTTTTCACTATTTCTCTTTTCTTTGCTACTCTTTGCAGGTGACACCCCACCGAGGCGGCGAATAAAAGCTGGGATTTAGGATTTTCAACGGTGTCAAAAAATATGAAATCAAAAATATTGAAGGCAAACAAGCGCGGAAAAAATAAAAGCTGAAACGCGTATTTACAAATTCAAAGCAGTGCGTGTAATAAAAACCATTATTTTATGGGTTTGTAAAGTGGGCCGAGGTTTAGCGGAACGTGAAGAGGAAAATCGCAAAGCAGAAAAAAAATAAATAAAAAAAACTTTTAATGCTCAAAAATCCAGCGAAACACAAGCAAATTGTTATTGTTGTTGCCCTTGTTTTTGGTAATTTTTTTCGCGGTGACTAGATGGAAACCAGATGCGACGCAGCATACGCAGAATTCTGACAGAACGTACGCGTAGGAGAAATTGACAAACGGAAGCACTTAAGTGCCGAAATTGTGCGAAAAAGAAACCGAAGCCGCCGCGGCAAACAACACTTTGGGAATGGCGTGCGGATAAACAAAGCGCAGATAAATAAATAAAATCATTATATAAAGCGGCATTATTTTATAGCGGCGTGACAAGGGTGTGGCGGTGTACCAAAATAAATAGAGGCATTATTCCAATTAAAAAGTGGAAAATAAAGTGAGGTGAAGAAGGAGCGAAAAAGCTGTTTTAAGCGGAAAATCGGTGGTGAAAAAATAAACTAAAATGAAATTTATATATACATATATGATATAAAGGAGAAGTGTTTAAAAAATTTTAAACAACAAAATTGTGCAAAATAAATGCAAATAAAGTTTAAAAACCCGTGTTGAATAAAATTAAAAAAAAAAAAAATAACCTAAAAACAACCTTTCAAAATATTTGAAATAAAACATTAAACCAAAAATCTGTTAAAAAATTACAGAAAAAGCACTTAAAGAGGAATATGACTTTGAAAAGCTGTCCAAAATAACAGCAAAATACTAAAAAAGGAACATAACCTAAAGAATCTGTCCAAAAAATAACAGAAAAATTTTAAAAGATGAAGAACTACAATAAATAAAATATAATTTTTTTTTCTAAGTAAATAAAACCAAACTTTAAAGCATAAAATCTGTCCAAAACAAATACAGCAACACTAAAAGGGAAACTTAACCTAAAAAAATTGTTTAAAAAATTGTTTATAACAAAAATTTAATGGCGTCAAATAATAAAATCTTGCAAAAATATTTGAACTGTGACCGAGGCGAATTTGAATTATCAAAAAGTGTATAAAAAAGTAAAAAATAAATTTATTTATTATTAAGACTAAACTTAAAGTTATAGAGCTATAGGGAGCAAGAAGAAACCCCAGAACTTAAAAAAAAATATCAAAAAGTGAAATAATAACATTTAAATAAAAAAAAAAATCGAATTTCAGTGGCAATAAAATTGCAAAAATTCATTAAAATTGAAGAAAATTTATTAAAATTTTACTCCCAAAAATTTTAAATAAAAAAATATATATTTAAAGAGCTAAATTTTTGCATAAAAAATAGTGAAAGTAAAAATATTCAAACACACATTTTAAAATTGTGAAACAATTTCTAAATAAATGTTAAAAAATTTCAACAAAA